ATAGATAGATAGATAGATAGATAGATAGATAGATAGATAGATAGATAGATAGATAGATAGATAGATAGATAGATAGATAGATAGATAGATAGATAGATAGATAGATAGATAGATAGATAGATATATATATATACACATACATAAATGATAATGGGTTAAAATTATTTTTATTGGAATTTTTCATCTTCTTCATTCTTCTTCCGCTGCGTCTGGGATGTTTCTCGGGGAGGTACAATGTGCCAAAACTGCCCCATGGAGCATCGCCCCTTGAAGGTTTATCTTGTGTACTTAAGTAGTGTCCACAACACAACCACACTCGGCGCCGGCGTGGTCATCTTCTGGCACTGGAACCGGATGGCCGCCATTGCAGCCTTGGGATACAATCATTCTGACAGATTTTCAGACCAGATAATTTGATGTTGTTCATACACTAGCTGGTGAGAATGGTACACACCATTTGTCTTATATCATGGTGTTCGAATGCGGTCCGTTCTGATTTTACCCGCATCTCGCCTCAAGCATTTCGTCTCGCCTCAAACATCACATCTCGCCCCAAAATCTGATCTCTCCTTACAATATCTTGTTTCGCCTCAAGCATCACATCTCGCCCCAGACATCTCGTCTCTCCTCATAATATCTCTTCTCGCCTCAAACATCTCATCTCGCCTCAAGCATGTCGTCTCCCCAAAACATCTGATCTCGCCCCAAGCATCTCATCTCGCCTCAAGCATCTCATCTCGTTCAAAACATCTCATCTCGCACCAAGCATCTCATCTCGATCCAAGCATCTCTTCTCGCTCCAAGCATCTCATCTCGCCCCAAGCATCTCATCTCGCCCCAAGCATCTCTTCTCGCACCAAGCATATCATCTCGGTCCAAGCATCTCATCTCGGTCTAAGCATCTCATCTCGCCCCAAACATCTCATCTCGGCCCAAGCATCTCATCTAGTCTCGCCCCAAACATCTCATCTCGCGCCAAGCATCTCATCTCGCCCAAATCAGCTCATCTCGCCCTAAACATCTCATCTCGCGCCAAGCCTATAATCTCGCCCTAACATCTCATCTCGCCCTAAACATCTCATCTCGCGCCAAGCCTATAATCTCGCCCTAAACATCTCATCTCGCCCTAAACATCTCATCTCGCGCCAAGCATCTCATCTCGCCCAAATCAGCTCATCTCGCCCTAAACATCTCATCTCGCGCCAAGCCTATAATCTCGCCCTAAACATCTCATCTCGCGCCAAGCCTATAATTTCGCCCTAAACATCTCATCTCGCCCTAAACATCTCATCTCGCCCCTAGCATCTCATTTCGCCCAAAACATCTCATCTCGCCGGTAAAGAGATTTTTCTCCAGCGTTTTTTTTCCCTTCTGTTTTCCGAGTCCAGTTGTTATTAGTGAATCATGTTTGGAACAAGAAGACATTTTTAATTAGCATGACACTGAATCACTCCACTTTCATTTCTTCGTGCCTAAGTAGCGGAATAGATTTTTTCTCTAAATACATAATTATTTCAAAAAGTGAAAAATGGTTGAAAAATAAACGAACCAAAGCACTCACTTTTTCTTCATTTTAGCCATGAAGCCTTCCTCCTTCAGCTTCAGCAGAGCGATGTTGATGTTTGTCTTGAACGGGGCCCCAGCCTTCATACCGATGCCGTGTTCCTGGAGATAGATCACACACGTGTTGAGAAGAACACAGTACACACAACTTGGCTCTGTCATCGCATGAGCCAACATCTATTGAAAGTGATCTTTACTCTAAAGTCATTGATTGGCTTTTTAAAAACTTTTTTTTTGGGTACCTGCAGTTGCAATTTACCAAGCCCCCAAAGCCAGTCTTTTCTGTGATACTTCAATTTTGAGCTAAAACTCAGGGGACGTATCATTTCCTGCTCATAACATTAAACATGAAAAAGGAGTTGGTAAGCTATACGATGACGTATCTAGAGGGGAACGGAGAGGATCAGTATTATAGTGGCATTATACATCAGAATTTTTTTTTTTTTTTACATATGTTCCATTCGTAATATTAGGCACATTTTTGAGCTAAGTTATGAATCGACGACGCCCTCCGGCTTACGTCATCACTAACCTGCAGTAAGATCGGCGACCCCGCCGCCATGACGGTACAGTGTATGTTCTGGGCCGCCTCATTGATC